CTGTCTCCAAAAAAAAAAAAAAAAAAAGAAAGAAAGAAATTCTGTCTAGACCAGATTACCATTTAATACTTTTATCTCTCTCTCTCTCTCTCTTTTTTTTTTTTGAGACAGAGCCTCAGGCTGTTGCCGTGGCATTACAGCTCACAGCAACCTCCAGCTCCTGGGCTCAAGCGATTCTCCTGCCTCCGCCTCCCAAGTAGCTGGGGACTACAGGCGCCCCGCACAACGCCCGGCTACTTTTTGGTTGCAGCTGTCATTGTTGTTTGGCGGGCCCCTGCCAGCTCAGGTGTATGTGGCTGGCGCGTTAGCTGCTTGAACCACAGGCGCCGAGCCTTAACTCTTTATTTTTTACTTATCATTTGTCTCCTTCCCTGAATGTAATAGAACCAGCAGATTCCCTATCTTAAAGCATTGTGCGGGTGGTGCCTGTGGCTCAAAGGAGCGGGCGCCGGCTCCACATGCCAGAGGTGGTGGATTCAAACCCAGCCCCAGCCAAAAACTACAAAAATATATATAAATTAAATAAACACCTTGCAATCTTCTAAAAAAAAAAAAAAGCATTGTGCAATGTTCTTACTCCATCTGACTTTGTTTCTCCTACTCTTTAGAGTTTAACATACACAGAAGTTCAGAAGAAATAACATTGGGCACACCCGTGAGTGGCACAGTGGTTACAGTGCCAACCACATGCACCGAGGCTGGTGAGTTTGAACCGGCCTGGCCAGCTAAACAGCAATGAAAACTGCAACAAAAAATATCCGGGTGTTGTGGCAGGCACCTGTAGTCCCAGCTACTTGGTAGGCTGAGGCAAGAGAATTGCTTATGCTCCAGAGTTTGAGGTTGCTGTGAGCTGTGATGCTACGGCATTCTACTGAGGGCAACGTAGTGAGACTCTGTCTCAAAAAACAAAAAAACATTGGCTTAGAAATCAGACCTGAATTTTAATCTTGGTGCACTGCCACTCCTTTCCCCTCCCATTCTATAAGTCTGGCTGGAGCCCAGTGGTACTGTCACAGATCACTGTAGCCTTAAAACTCCTGGCCTCAAATCCTCTTGCCTTGGCCTCAGAGTTGCTCATATTATAGGCATGAGTCACTGTGCCCAGCTTAATCTCGCTTCTGCTTCTTCACTTACTTTAAATGGATGATTTTAGAAGAAAAGTATGTCTTTTACAAAAGCAGTTTGTAAAGTGGGGATAATACCTTACTGTGAACCACACAGAACTGTTATGCCTGTTCTTTAAAAGTAGTCTGTTGCTCAGGCTAGAGTGCTGTGGGGTCAGCCTAGCTTACAGCAACCTCAAACTCCTGGGTTCAAGTGATCTCTTGCGTCGCCCTCTTGAGTAACTGGGACAACAATCATCTGCTAGGAGACCTAGCTAATTTTTCTTTCTTTCTTTCTTTTTTTTTTTTTTGGTGGAGACAGGGTCTCAATCTTGCTCAGGTAATCTTTCTGTCTCTTTCTGTTACATTTTCTTTCTTTCTTTTCTTTCTCCCTTCCCTTTCCCTTTCCTTTCCCTTCCCTTCCCTGTCCTGTCCTGTCCTTCCCTGTCCTGTCCTTCCCTTCCCTTCCCTGTCCTGTCCTGTCCTGTCCTGTTCTGTCCAACTTTATCATCCTTGGTAGAGTGCCATGGTGTCACAGCTCACAGCAACCTCCAGCTCTTGGGCTTAGGTGATTCTCTTGCCTCAGCCTTCCGAGTAGCTGAGACTACAGGCGCCCGCCACAACACTCGGCTATTTTTTTGGTTGCAGTTTGGCCTGGGGCGTGTTTGAACTCACCACCCTTGGTATATGGGGCTGGTACCCTACTCACTAAGCCACAGGTGCTGCCCTTTTTCTTTTTTGAGACAGAGTCTCACTTTGCGGCCCTTGGTAGAGTGATAATGGCATTATAGCTCATAGCAACCTCAAACTCTTGGGCTCAAGTGATTCTCTTGTCTCGGCCTCCCAAGTAGCTGCGACTATTGTTACCCACCACAATGCCTGAGGTCATACTCTGGCTCAGGATAGTTTAGAACTCCAGTTTAGGCATTCCACCCACTTCAGCCTCCCAGAGTGCTAGGATTACAGATGTGAGCCACTGAGCCCTGCCTGAACATGGTTTTTATTTTTTTTTTTAAGACAGAATCTCACTTTGTTGCCCTCAGTAGAGTGCCATGGCGTCACAGCTCACACAAACTCTTGGACTCAAGCGATTCTCTTGCCTCAGTCTCCCAAGTAGCTGGGACTACAGGTGCCCACCCCAACACCTGGCT